GGGAGAAGCGGTACAGTGAGCAAAAATTTAGAAAGCTATTTGCCAAAGTTATCTATGACACAGGTACAAGCAACGCTTCCTGGGGGCCCCGCTATGACTACAGCCTAACACAAAAAAGGGGAGAGTTTTTCTTCCCTTTTTAACATAACTGCTCATTCCAGATACCCTGGCTCTAAAGCACAGTCTCTCAGCCTCAGCGGTACTGACGTTTGCGGACGGATAGCACTTCGCCATGGGCAGCTCTCCTGAGCACCGCAGGCAGTTTGGCAGCACCCATGGCCCCTAGACGTGAAGTGCCTATAATAGCACCCGCCCAGTTATGACAACCCACATCGTTGCCAGACCTTGCCAGTGTCCCCTGGCAGGCAAAATTGCCTGGTTGGGACCCACTGCTTTAGAGTCTCAGTAGTTCTGGCACTAAGAAGAGGGGACTTTGGGGCCCACTGGAGCGGCAGTGATGCCCAGCTACAAAAGTAGATGTGCCTGGAAGTTATGCCAGAGCCTGGGATGTGTGTGGGGAGCGAGGGGGCAGCCTCTAAACCAGAAAGTCAAAAACCAAAAAGCAAAAACAGGACCCCATGGTAGAAGAACAGAAGCAAGCCAGTCTTACTTGTGAGACACAGCCTGGGGGACCCCCTGAAATACGTTGGGAGACTGCAAAAAGGCTAGGTTCCTAAGAGAACAAGTGGAGGCAAGAAACAGTGAAATGAGCTCTTTACTATTCATGTGAGCCCATGTGTACCCAGAGGCCAGGGAGAATTGAGGACATTTTGGATTAAGTTTTGAAAAATACCATAACCTTGAACCATATTTTGTTCATTTTGTTTTGTTTTGTTTTTAAATTCCACATATAAGTGAATCATATGGCATTTGTCTTTCTCCACCTGGATTATTTCATTTCGCATAATACCCTCTAAGTCCAACCTTGTTGTTGCAAATGGCAGGATTTCATTCTTTTTAATGGCTGAATAATATTCTGTTGTGTATATATACATCTTTATCCATTCACCTGCCAATGGATACCCATATCTTGGCTATTGTAAATAATGTAGCAGTAAACACAGGGGTGCATATATCTTTTTGAATCACAGATTTTTTGGGAGGGGATAAATTCCTAGAAATGGAATTACTGGGTTGTATGGCATTTCTATTTTTAGTTTTTTGAGAAACCTCCATATTGCTTACCATAGTGGCTGCACAAATTCACATTCTCACTAACAGTGCAGGAAGCTTCCCATTTCTCCACATCCTTGCCAACACTTGTTTTTCTTGTCTTTTGGATAGTGGCCATTCTGACTGGTGTGAGGTGATACCTCGTTGTAGTTTTGATTTGCATTTTCCCTGATGATTAGTGATGTGGAGCATCTTTTCATGTGCCTGTTGGCCATCTGTATTTCTTCTTTGGAAAAATGTCTATTCAGGTCCTCTGCCCATTTTTTAATAGGGTTACTTATTTTTATGGTGTTGAGTCATATGAGTTCTTTATGTATTTTGGATGTTAGCCCCTTACTGGATATATCATTTGCAAATATATTCTCCCATACTGTAGGCTGCCTTTTCCTTCTGTTGATGGTTTCTTTAGCTGTACAAAAGCTTTTTAGGAGGTATATTTTTAAAATTGATGTTCATATTTAACCTCAGTGTTTTTTCCTCTTAAAAGCTGCTTTTAAAATTATCTCACAATGTGCAGATTTCTAAGAATTACAGAAAGGTTTTTTGACCTAACTGAATAATGCAGGCAGGGAGTGATAAACTGCCCTAATCTCCTCTCCTCCCGTTAGCGATGAGGGATAGCTTTCCATTCCAGTTCTAGTGCCCAAGAAAATTCAGAGATTGAGATACCTCATTATTCAACCATTTCTAAGAAACACAATGTTTGCCATTGGTGTATATGGAAAAGTGAAAGAAATAAACACCAATTTAAGGGAGGTGTAGCTAATACAACAGACCTCTAGGTAAGAACTTGGGGTACCTATGGAACTGTAATTCCATGGAAGCAAGACATCTTCCATGGATATGCAGTTGACCTTCAAAGACAGATCCCCAGCAGGGGAAAAGTACACACCTGGTTCTTTCTAGAGGACATGTCCATCTCTGTTCTCCCAGAACACCTGTGAGGCAGTAATGCAAGCCATCTAAGTAGGGAGGCCTTGGCATAAACTAAAGTATAATGCTTTGTTAGGGGCAAAGATAGTCTCTTCAGTTGTGTTGGGAAAACTGGATATCCACATGCAAAGGAATGAAACTGGATCTCTGTCTTACACCACTCATAACAATTAACTTGAAATGTAGTCAAGACTTCAATGTATGCCCTGAAACTGTAAAACTCCTAGAAGAAAACACAGGGAAGAAGCTCCTTGACATGGGTCTTGGAGATGATTTTTTGGATTTGACACCAAAAGCACAGCAATAAAAGCAAAAATAAACAAGGTGGGACTGTATCAAACTAAAAAGCTTCTGCACAGCAAAGGAAACAATCCACAAAATGAAAGGGTAACACCTATAGAATCAGAGAAAATATTTGCAAATAAGGGGTTAATATATCTATATAATATCTAAATATCTATGTAGTATCTAAAATATATAAGGAACCAAATAATAGCAAAAAAAAAACCAATTAAAAAGTGGGCAAAGGACCTAAATAGACTGTTTTCAATAGAAGACATACAAATGGCCAACGAGTACATGAAAAGGTGCTCAACATAACTAATCATCAGAGAAATATGCATCAAAACTACAGTGAGACAGCACCTTGCACCTGTCAGAATGGCTATTTAATATATTTTTTTAAAAAGAGAGAAAAGTGCATGTGAGGATGCGGAGAAAAGGGAATCCTCATGCACTGTTGATGGGAATGTAAATTGGTGCAGCTACTATGGAAAACAGTATGGCAGTTCCTCAAAAAATTAAAGCTAGATCTACCATATGACCCAGCAATCCTACTTCTGGGTATATATATGAAGGAAAGGAAATTACTATCTTGAAGAGGTAAGTGTACCCCCTGTTCATTGCAGCATTATTTATAATAGCCAAGACACAGAAGAACCTATCTCATGTCCATCAGTGGATAAATGGAGAAAGAAATATGATATGATTTATATATACACACAATGGAATATTACTTGGCCATAAAAAGAAACCATTTGTGACACTGTGGACAAATCTTTAAGGCATTAAACTAAATGAAGTTAAGTCAGACAGATAAAGTATGTGCTAAAAGTTGAGGATAACCAACAGGATAGAAAGAGAATGTGAAAATTCCAACCTAGCATAGAGGAAAACATCAGAAATTAGGGGGGGGAAACAAAAACAAAAACCAGAATATGAAAACATAGGAAAAAATTAGAAAGTTGGGAGGAGAAAATCATGTGTCCATTTCTCAGTAGCAGGCGTGCATGCTCCCCCAAAAGGAAGGGGCCTGTGATGGGAATGCGGGCCTCGGGGTGGTGAAGGTTTGGAGTGCTGATGGATAGAGTGAACAAAGAGGCCAATCTCAAGTGAATTAAATGATCGACTCAGACTGGCTCAGGTTGGAAACCATGGTTTTATAGGACAGCCACTCAGCTATGAGAGACCAAATCAGGCAGAAAATTTCTTGGTGAGCAAGGAATCAGAATACAGAGAACTGGAAGATTCTGAGGCTACAGCACCCAGGCTTTGGAGTGGCAAAGCCAGGTCAGGAAGATGGCCCCACTGTCCTTCACTGCACTTGTGCCCTCCCTTTACAGAGGGCAGATAAAAAAACCAAGATTTTTTATGAATCAGATCCTGCTTTGATCGGGCTCCAAAGGCATCCTTACATCAGCAAGTTATAAATCAATCAAGTAGATGGCAGTTTTCTGTGCTGTAGTATAGCTGGGTCTCCTGAGCCTGCACCCCGACAGCCTTCTGTTCTCAGCAGCCAAGGAGTCTGCAAGCTCTCCTTGGAGGAGTCACTGCTTCAGGTTGCCTCTCTCATCTACTTTACGTCAATTCCCCTCAGCTTCAGGTTCAGGGGGTGACCTCTTTCTGTTTTGTCCCCCCACATATACATGTGCTCACGTACCTTTGGAAGCCTCTAGGCCTATTTGGGAGGGAGCAAAGGGGAACAGAGGGCAGCATGAACTGGGGACATTCAGAGAGAATTCCAATCAGCAGCTATGGGACATGAAGTAGTCACTAAATCTCTTTGTGCCAGCATTTTCTTACTTTTAAATTCGGGAGAGTATATGTTGAATGTTGGGAGAGAGTAAATGAGATCATCTACAAAGCACTTGGCTTACTGTCTGACACACAGTAGGCACTCAATAAATGACCTGCAGCCCTCTCTGTTCTGACCACAGCTCTTCCTAGGGACATGGTGTAGTTGGCTGAACAACGCCTCCTCCCCAAAAATGTCTGCTCTGAATCCCCAGAACTTGTGAATATGTTAGGTTAGGTGGCAAAGGGGATGGAATTGAAGTTGCTAATTACAATTAAGGTTGCTATTTAAAACTGACCTTAAAATAGATTATCCTGAATTATCTGGGTGGGTCCAGTATAATTTTAAGAGTCCTTATAAGTGTAAGGAGGCAGAAGAGAATCAAAGCGTGACAAAAGAAAGGCACAGAGAGAAGCAATGTCACTAGCTTTGAAGATGCAGGAAGGGACCACCAACGGAGCAATGTGAACAGCCTCCAGAGGCTGGACAGAGCCAGGAAACAGCCTCCAGGAAGGAGCACAGCCCTGCCAACGCCTCAGCCCAGTGAGACCACAGAACTGGAAGATAGTAAATTGTGTTGTTTGAGCCACTACGCGTGTTACTTTGTTACAACAGCCATAGGAAATGAATACACCGGCCTCGTGGCAGATGTCCCACCCCGCCTGCAGCAACCTCAGTCAGCGACTAACAGTGCTCTGCAAACTCAGGTATCCCAACGATACAACCATGACTTCTACGCCCGTGACCAATGAGCGTCATTACATGCCCAAGCTGGTGGAGCAACATGAAAGACCGGTGGTGGGGCTCGGAAGTTACTCACCCCAGCCTCTGTGCTGGAAAAGAATGGACGCTGCTCGCAATTCTGTGGCAGTTGTACTGAAGCCCTCATGTCCACCTACAGCAGGGAGACATGCCTCATGATACCAGGGCCAGAGAAGCTCTCCCAAGGTGTGAATCACCTGGACCTTATATCAGCCCGGTGCCCCCTCCCCAGATCCAGTCTGCCCACCTACCAATGGAGCGTAGCCATTTTACCTACACAGCACTGTTGGACCAGCAGAGCCCTTAGACTATCGTCTCTTTATTCAAGCACGGCAAGAGGGCAAATGGCTTGGGGCCAAAACCAGAGGAATCAGGACAGTGGGATTTGGGGATGGAAGTGTCTTGGACTGAAAGAGAAATACGACCTTCCCTGCTATCCCGCACCCTTCGCCCCACCTTTGGTATTCTCCCAAGGGACTCCTCACATTGCTGGTTGCCCACCGCTCTCTTCCTTCTTGGCAGACCCCATCTCCTGTCACAGCAGCGGAACTGCCAACCCCGGCTCTCCGGCTCCTGTGCAGCCCCTCCCCAGGCCTGAAACGATGGACCAGGACAGGCTTGAGATGGTACTATCTTCTCCTTCCCCGGTGATTTGTTCTGAGGTTGGCAAGTGTTAAATTCTGTCCAGAGATGTAAATGTCACTGGGAAAGTGACAAAGGAGGAAACTGCCTTTCCCGCCTCTGAGAGGCGCTGTATGAGAGCGAGCGGCACCCGTCCTCGCAGGGGAGACCCCGAAGCCTGACCCCGCTGCCCTGCGCCCTCAACTAGCCCTGGCCAGGCCCTCCTCCCGGCGGCTTGCTGTGGGAGACGACAAGCTCCTAACCGTCTGCGGCGAGCAGCCTTCGGCAACACATTCTGCCCCTTGCAGCTGAAAGCTCTCTCACTAATAAGCATTTTGGGATTAATACAGGCATCAGGGATTCCTGGCCAGTTAGCGCCTCCTGATGAAGACAGACGAACTAAGTGTACAGCACAATCCATGAGACAGAGTCCTTCCCTCGGGGCCTCTCAGTCTAAAGCTTTGAGGATGGAAATTACTTCCTATCTGCTCTCACCTCTGGATTCCAGAAGTCATGAAAATAGTGCTGGAGTCCTGTCACTTAATTTTTAATCCATATTTAAGTCTCATTAGAGATTATTGATTTTCAGATGGCAAATTTTTCCTAAAAGCCCAGTGGCCCACGTAAAACCACCCTCTTAGTTTCTCTCTCTGTCTTTGCACCACAGAATAGGCTACAGCAGAGTTCAGCTAAAGGAGGAGAAAACATTCAAGCACTCTAGCATCTTGTAGATTTATACAACAGCCTACTGGGCAGGGGGATGACTAGGGCCTCACAAAACAGCCTCCCCAGAAAATGTAGATGGAGTGTAGATGTTACACAATCGCAGATGAAGAAATGGGGGATTTGGGGATGTTAGTTAATTCTGTGGCAAACCAGGGTGGGGTATGAGACAGCAATGAATACAGAATGAGGGGGACAAGAGGAGAAAAGGCCCTGGATGTAGCAGGAAGGAAACAATGTTTATATCCAGCTCAGGGCTTCACCCAAAAAATTCACAAGGAGAGATCAGGCATTGGCCCCAGAATGACACTGCAAACCACCCAGTACATAAAGAATGGTTATGTGTATTCATGTCTGGTGAACAGTTATCAAGTTTACTCTATAACACAGGTTTGGAGGTTCTTGGCTTCACTTTGTTGCAAAATCCCAGGTAAAAGGGAAGCAACTTTAAACCTGCTACCAAAGCAGGCCCTGCCACCAGCAGGACAGCACAGAGCAATGTCTGAACTGGGGTCATCACGGTCTGGGTGGGCCACGCCACACAGCAATGGTACAAGCAAGAGCTAAATGTGACCTCTTCCAAGCAGCACAGAAGTCACCATTCCTAAGGAGTCTGAACTTCGGCTCCTCCAGTTTTTCTGTGGGACATTTTGGCAAGTTGCTTATTCCCTCTAATCCTTAGTTTTCTTGCCTACAAGTATATTATAACACCTCTTTCATAGGATTGTTGTGAGAATTACATGAAATAACCCATGTGGCATGATTGGCCACAGAAACTGCTAAAAAATGTTAGTATTTACAAGAGCTACTAGTGACCAAATTCTCATTTATTCTGGCATGGCTGTTAGGTCCAGATGCCCTGTAGCTGTGGCCACTAGGTCCAGGGGGATACCCATTAAGGCAGACACCATTTAACTACAGCACACAGAGAACTTTATTAGTGGCATGGAGTCCCCTCTAACCACTCACCTGAATCTTCAGTCACAGCCTGACACCCAGGGAACTTTTGCAAAGATTGATGCTCTAAAATTACAATTTCCCACAGCCAGTCCCTGCCGCTTCCTCCCCCCACAGCACAACCACCCTCCTCTGGGTGACAAGGGCAGGGGCAAGAGGGACCCTTACAGGGACCCCACATCTCATATCCCAGGGAAAGAAAAACCAACCCTCTTCCCCTTCTTCCCTATCAAGCTTGTTCCCAGGGATGCTGTTATGGAGGTTTTTTAGTGTTTCTAATCTAACCACCTAGAAAGGAAAGGAGGGCAGAAAAGCCATTACACAGCTGTTTGGTCAGTTGCTTGTCTTTAAAAAGTTGGACTGATAAAATCTGGGGATCTGAAAACCACTGTCTCCATTCATTTCCAAAGCTATCTTCCTCATCACACAATCATGGCCATCACACCTCGGCATACTGTCCTCTGTTCCAGAAAGGGTTTCCCTTGGGAAAGCTCACTGAACTAGCTCCTGGAACTTCCGGGCAGCGCCCCGCCTTGCCCCTCACTCTCTCCCTTATCTTGTCCAATCCTCTCCTGAAATCCCACTGCTCCCTATCTTCTACTTTACTCTCTTTGGTCCCTATCATTAATCATGAGGAAGGTGGTGAGAACTTGAAGGATGCAGAAGATGGAAGCCTCCCTCCTTTCCTGCTAGTGTGTGAGGTGGATGCTCTGCATGTAAAACATCTTGGAAGCAGCTCCTGTGTCAGTCACTTACGCTCTGCCAAGTATTTCTTAAGAGGTTGGCATTCAAGTCTTAGTCCCAGGAGGCATTTCCTCCCTGTGGCCAAGCACATGAGCCCCGGTGCAGCCAGCACTGAAGCCCTGGATTCAGGTTCCTGGGGGGTCAGATCCCTGAGAACCCACAATGGCAGCGGGCCTCTGGCACCACCAGGCTCTGAACACCTGTGGCTAAACACAGCTATTTCTTCTTACTTGGGCTCCAGCTGTTCTCAGTTCTCCACCTTGGAATTTCACTCCTCCCACTAGCCCACCTACCTTGGGCCTTACCTTGTGGCTATAAATCAGATCCTTTCTCCCCCGGGTTCTTCACAGGTCCCTGTTTATGCATCCATCTCTCTATCATTCTCCTGTGGGCCACCAGGAATCCCAGAACCTGGCCAAGGCCTGCCCTGTGGGCCGGATCACTGTCAGGCCTCACACTCCCTCTGGGCCAGGAGCAACAACTTTAGGTTCCTACAGTGGGTACACCCACCCCTCTGTGATCAAGAACTGGGAATTCCAGTCCTCATTAGACTTCCCTGAGACCCCAGGCATCAGGACCTTCTCCCACCCCCGCACCCACGTCCATATCATTTTCTGGTGATGAATGTCACTACTGAACATTCATCTACCAGCCATGGTTCACCCACAGCCTCATCTCCCCATAGGACCATCATACCCTGAGGACAGCAACCCAGTGTTATTCATCGTCCAAGCCTGGAGCCTGGTACAGTACCTGGCACATAATTGGTGCTCGCAAAGTTTTAATGATTCCATAATGACTGCCTCAAATCTGTTTTGGAACAAAAGAGGATTTAACTGAACACACTTTGCCAAGAATTTTCCCTTCGGGAGGCCATCTCTACTCTCATTCCTCAGCTGTAAAATGAGGAGGTTGGACCAGTCCTAGAGAGTCCTCTCAGGCTCTGGTTCTGCGAACCATCTGTGACTCCTGATAGATTGCATTGTTCTTCTGTCCAGCACAGTGACCCTGTAATTGGTAGTTTCATTTGTGAAGAATTATCCAAAACTTGGGAATAATGCCAAAGATGATAAATATCATGCTAGGTGTACTTCCTAACAAGCTCACCTAAAGGTCTTCTGGCTCCACAGGCCCTGATTGTCCAGAATCGTGGTTTCTCAACTTCACCCCTGGCAGGCATCTGGAAATGTTTTGAGTGTTGAGTGGGGGGCAGCTACTGGTGGAGATCAGGGATGCCAGTAAGCTTCCTACAGTGCACTCGACAGCCTCCCACAACAAAGAATTTTCCAGGCCCAAAATGTCTCCAGTGCAGAGGTTGAGAAGCCCTGCTCCTGAGTATGCATGAGTGCTTGTGCCTTTGATCATGACCCAAATATTTTAAAATGCAGTGAACTGATAGTGTATCATGAGTCTCTTTTCCATCTACTAGAGAGAATAACCCCAAAGACTGTTTTTTCTTTTTTGCCCCATAAAACACAATAAGTTTTATATTTAATTTAGCAATCTTATCTCAGCTTTCCTTCTTTCCACTGCCTATTTTAAAAAACAACTAGTTTCTCATATTCTCTTTCTGAACTATTTATTTTGTTTTGATTTTAAGTTAAACTTTTTGAGATCAGTTGTAAGAAATAATACATAGAGATCTGTGTGTGTGTGACTTTTACCAATTTCCCCCAGAACAATAGGACAAAATCACATCCAGAACTGATATTGGCACAATCCACCCAACCTATCTAGATTTTTCCAGTGTTATTTGCACTCATTTGCATACTTTATTTGGTCCATGCAGTTTTATCACACGTGTAGGTTCATGTATCCAGCACCACAGTCAAGATACAGAATGGCTGCCTCACCACAAAGATGCTTCGTGTGGCCCTTTTAATAACCACACCCTCATCTTCTCCATTCTGCTATATCATCCAGCTGTGACCCCCAACTAATGGGCTAAATAAATAGTGACACCTCCTTCCTATTGACATTTTGAGAAACACACTTTGATATATTTCCTTGCCATTAATGGAATTACCCTACTAAGCAGCAGCTCCAGGCTGAGAGGTGAAGACAAGGGTAAACCAGATGGCTCCTAAT